GCTGGTAGGAATGTAATATGGAGCAGTCACTCTGGACAATGTTTGGCAGTTTCTTACAAAATTAAACATTACACTTACCACACAACCCAGAGCTTCTGGGCATTCTATTACAGAGAAAAAAAGATGCATTCGAAATTCAAAAATCTCTATATGACTGTTCATAGCAGCTTTATCAATAACAGCCCAAATTAGAAGCACTGAAATTGTCTGGTTGAGGACAAAAGGTGATGGATAAACTGTGGTATATCCATACCACAGAATATTAGTCAGCAATAAAATAGGAGCAAATTATTAATACGAACCAGTATTTCAAAAGCATTGTCCTGAGTGAAAAAAATCCAATCTCAAATGGTTACATATCGTATGACTGTTTATATAACATTCTCAAAACATCAAAATGATAGAAATGATAAAAAGATTAGTGGTTTCCAGGGGTCAGTGATGGTGGAGGTGACTATTAGAGGGTGTTATGAAAGAGATCTTTGTGGTGACGGAATAATTCTGTATCTTAATTGCTGTCCTGGTTACATGAGTCTACACATGATAAAATGACATAGAACTAAACACACACATTATACTAACTGATAATTTCCATTCTGATATTATACTATAATTATTGATACATAAGATATAACCACGTGGAAAAATGGGTGAAGAGTACATGAGACCTCTCTGTACTATCTTTGCAACGGCCTGATATTTCTGTAATTTTTTCAAAACTAAAAAGTTAAAAAAAAAAAACTCTACTCCAAGATCCATTAAAAAAGGAAAAGCATAAGAATTTGATTTGTAAAAGCTTAGTGACATTTAACTATTTACCCATACTCTTTGCATATCTGTCTTCAAAATTTCACTCGTTCTCTAAAACTTAAATGTAGTTAATAAAACACAGGCCTTTTTTATGTGTGTGCAAGACCAGTTGTGAAAGGTGGGCCATAAGAGAACCAAACAAGTCTGCTGCATAAGAGGGAAGTTTCAAAATGCATTTGTTCTGCTCCTTTCAGAAATGCGTTGTAGCCATCACTGATATGAAGAAGCCACAGCTATGATTAACCTGTTAGAGTAATAATTAAGTGTCATGGCGTCTTCTCCAAGAGAGATCATTTTGAGTGTGTGGCTGCGTCTATCAGAGAGCAGAGAAATAAAGGCAACAAAGCAGCACTATGACATAGGCTTCCCACAAGAGGGCAGTAGCTTACCAAGTTTTAAAGCGAGCAAAGGACAAACCACTAAAGATTTTAAATGTATAAAAGGTTAGTCCCTCTTAATAACACAAGTTGAAATATTTTCTTTTATCCTTTACGAATATGAAGGTCACCCCACCACCGCTCCACACCTGCAGGCAAATAGCTAAAAAAAATGATTATACAATCTATAGATAGATTCTACAACTTTGAATAGAGTTTTGTTTCAAATGCCTCCAAGGTGCTCTAGCTATTATGATTCGTTTAGAGAAGGGTTTAACAAACTGCAGCCCATGGGTCAAAACTAGCCGGCTGGCTGGCTGGCTGTTCTGTTTTACCACTCATGACCTTAGAATGGTTTTTACTTTTTTAAAATGTTTATATTTTAAATGATTATGTAAGTACCTACATAGTATCCTTGATTTTACCTTTTGGACCTCACAGCCCAAAACACTATCTTGCCTCTCAATGTGAAAAAAAAAATTCCCTCAAGATAGTCTGCCATATAATTTCTGTACCAAACATTAAGATTATAATAAAAGGTGAAGTATTATTCCTAATATCAACTTCATATAAACTGAAATCATACGAGTAAATGCCTGAAATAAAAGCTGTATCTTGAATATTAGTAAACTCTATGGGTTCTCTAATACAAAAGAAAAAGAGCTACAATTCCTGTATTGTGTGACACCGGATATTTATACCCGGGATTTTCTATTTCTAACTAATGAGAAGCTTGAAATCCATCTCATTCTCCATGATGTATCTTGACTGCGTCCACTTGTCCTTAAAACCATGACCACGACCCTATCTTACCATCTTTTATCTGTACTGAGGTTTCTAAATCTCAGTCTATGATGATATTATGGACTTGATAATGCGTGTGGAAGGGCTATCCTGTGCACCGTAGGAGGTTTAAGAGCATCCCTGGCCTCTATAAGCAGCACCTCCACAGCTCTGATGTCCCCAAATGTTTGCAGACCTCGACAAGTGTCCCCTGGGGAGAAAATCACCCCCACTGAGAAGCAATGATCTGGACTAGTAGTCTCCAAAATGAGTTTGCATATGCTCAGAGCATGTGTAGGAAAATATTTAAATTTCTACTTATGTATTTTTAGTATTCACTTACATATTTCAGTGGGTACACAGGCAAAAAAAGTCTCTTGCTAACTGTGTGTGGGGTGGGGGGAGTGGAATTGAAGAGCTATGGCAGCCATGGTAATCGCCCTCCAATTGCTCTCTTTACTTCTCCAATCATTTTACCCAGCAGTCAGATCATTTTCTTCAATGTAAATGAAGTGATGACACGCCAGAGTTTGAAAACCTTCAGCAACCTCTCAGCACACTCAGAAAAAGATCTCATCTCTTTCCCTGCATGGCCTGTAAATTCCACTCGCTTAGCCCTTACTTCTCTCCAGCTCTGTCCCATCTTAGGGCCTTCAAGCATGCTCTTCCTTCTGTCTAGAATGGTCTTCCCCCACTCTTCACCTGGCTGTCTTCCTTCTTATCCTTTAGTTCTCATACTAAACATCACTGTCTTAGGGAAATTATTCCTTGATCCACTCAATCTAAAGTTGGACACCTCGACCTCACCTCACTTGCCCCAGTAAGTATTTTTCACACCTTGCTGCTCTGTGCAGCGTGTGCCACAATTTCTAATTATTTATTTGCATTTACTTCTTAAATATCCATCTCCCTACTATACTGTATGTTCCATGAAAGCAGGGACTGTGCTCAGCAAATATCTGTTGAATAAGTGAATGGAATGAATGACGCTAAGAAAACTCAGACTCTTTCTTTAACATTTTTTGTTGGAAAAACTTTCTAGAAACATGCTATTTAATGTCTCAAATTACCCATTGGCCACAAATGAATATGCCATGTATCAATCTGCTTTTATTCTTTTTTTTCTTTTTTTTTTGGCCACGCAGCATGCGGGATCTTAGTTTCCCGACCAGAGATCAAACCTGCACCCCCTGCCAGTGGAAGCGCAGCATCCTAACCATTGGACCACCAGGGAATTCCCTGGAAAAACTTTCAATACAGAAATAGAATATACTGGAAAAGGTACTAGACTGTGAATTGTCCCTATTTCTCCACTAGGGATCCCTGGCCAATTATTCAGTCCTTCTTCAAGGACTAGATTTCAGGGCCTGAGGCAAAACTGTAAAATCCCATCAATTATTTAGCCTCTCATGGGAATGGCAGAATGATTCCTGAAAAGAGGATGGATAGGTAGCCTGTCTCAATTTTACGGTTAAACGAATTGAAATACAAATTCTACATGACATGCCCACTATGCTAGAACCAAGTTCTCCGGCTCTGAGCCCAAACGTATTTTACCAGACTCCACTGCCTGCACACATATGCTTCTCTCTTCTTTTTAACCTGTTCTAATCTGTGAATAGAGAACCTGCTAGTCTTCATTAGTTTGATCTCTTCTTCTTTGCATTAAAACTTTCATGCTTCAAGGGGGCAGAGGTGTCTAAAGACAATCTACCATGGGCTGGGCATTCTAAGAAAACTTCTGCTTATTATTCAGAATCAAATTTCTGGACCCTTTAGCCAAACAAGGTGAAAAAGGTGAAAAAGGTGAATGGGAACACTCTAAGGTAACATGAAGGATATTATTTAATGCAAAATCTACTAACTTCTAAAATCCAAGTGCTTTTTAATTCAATTCAGTAAAGCAAGACTATTATGAGACATCAGAGGACAATGGATTACCATCAGCATGAGGAAAAAGGAAATGAGGAGGGATCTTAAAGATCACCTAGCTCAAGCCTTTAATTTATAAGAAAAGTGTTATTTTAAGAGGCTAAATAACATATGCATGGTTAACTGAAAAGGGGGTTAGGATAAAAATGTTAGCGCTTCTATATTAAAAAGAAAAGACACACAAAATGCTGGGGAAAACTGCCTCGTTTCCTTCTATCTGTAAAATTACCTCACTCTTTATTCTACATATTAATGGTACATATATTATTTTATGTGAAGCTTAAATAAGCTCACATATCTAATTTTTCAGGCAAGACCAGATTAAAAGCAACCAACTAAAAGTAAGGTTTGCAACTTCACAGGCAGGAACTTCACAATCAAGTGACAATGGACACTGGGGTAGGAGGCTGAAAAAAACCTAAAAAGTATACTTTGTAGAGCACCTCCGTAAAGGAAACCATTCAGTTTAGTGGCAAGCAGTTCTGGGCCACAATGGACTAGAGGTTATTGCTGCGTTATTTCATACTTCAACAAGCAGCATTCAAACATTTAAGATGAAAGATGTTGGTTTGTAAGATAAAGTGTTCATTATCTAGGGCAGTGCTATCTATTTGACAAAAACGGTCCTATTTGGACTTCTTTGCAGCGATGGAAATGCCCTCTGTCTGTGCTGTTCAGTTGGGTAGGCACAAGCTGTCCGTGACTATTAGCACTTGAAATGTGGCTGGTGTGACTGAGGAACTGAACTTTTAATTAATTTAAATGAATTAACTTTTCCCGTATTACTTAAGAATCAAAATTAAATAGCCACCTTGTGTCTATGACTACCAGTTGGGATCTAGAGAATTTACTCAGAGGAAATCTCTTATCTTTACATGAAGCTGAATAAATGCTATGTTCTTATGTCACTCTTAATACGGAATGTTAAGAACTTTAAGACTCCTTAAATGAGTGGGGAAAAATTGTATAATGGAAATGGAAATCACTTTTCTTTAGTAAAAGCATGCCCAATACATTTTCAAAGGATCCATTAAACTCAGGTTCAATTTGCTAAAATTTAATAGCACACATTATACTTCCAAATTGATAAATACTTACACATTGTCTTCCAGGCAGATTTTGGGTCCTACCACATTAGCTGCTCCACTTGCCATTTTAAAAGCAAAATGCTTCTCAGGGCAAGCTTTTGAGATCCCACATTTATACCTGGGAGGTTTTGTAGCTTTGGAGAGAAAAAAAATTTATTTTAAGAAAACAATGTTAACAGACTCTGTATTTAGTTTGTTTCATATCTCAAACCACAAAGGGCATTATGCGAAACACCAAGATATACACATCTTAAACTACATGCAAGTTTTTTTTTTTTTTTTTTCCTGAGAGTTTCAAAGAACTTCAAAACAAAACAAAACGGAACCTCCTAGGAAACAAGGTAACAATTAACATAAATGGAACAAGTAACATGATCTTCATGAGGGTAAATATATTTTATCTAATTATTTTTAAGCTCATTTAAAAAAACCAGGATGGGGGAGGTCTGGAATTGTTAGTTTGCATTTCCAGTCCATATATGCAAAATAAATGGACAGTAAAAAGCCTGATGCATCACTGAATATCTGCTCACATACTAGTTCTAACTAGGAATTCTTTTTTAACATCTTTATTGGAGTATAATTGCTTTACAATGGTGTGTCAGTTTCTGCTTTATAACAAAGTGAATCAGCTACACATATACATATATCCCCTAACTAGGAATTCTTTTACACACTTTCTGTACTTATAACACTGAAGCTAAAAAACACTAATGGAACAAAATATCCATTATAAATACATACCCAAAATATTGAGCTGTTCAATCAAATAGTTTCCTTAAAACTTAATAATTTCTAAAATCAGTTTTGCTCACATTGAACTATATCCATTGTTTGAATATAGGTTCTCATATGCCTAAGAGAAAAAGAATAAACCATCTGCAAAATATTGAGATGAAATACTTACAACGTGCAACTGCGTCCAATGCTGACCTTGCTAAGGAAAAAAAAGTTATCGTTAGAAAGAATAAAGCTATTGGCAAGTATCACTTTTAAACATGTGTGGAGCTAATAGGCCTATAAAAATGTGTTTGAATTATTGCTTAGTATACAATACATAAAACATGAATATCACTTTACAGAAAAAGTGAGAAAGTAACTTTAGGCTACATAATTCACTACAAACAATTATGTAGAGGAATTATGGAGGGTATTATTTTATTATTGATAGAGTACTTTGTTTTTACCTTTACATTTTATGTTTAGTTTTAGTTATTATAAATTTAAATCCCAATCAGAAAGTTACTCTACAAGCTTAACTTTTTTAAATTCATTTTTTATTTTTTTCCAGCTTTCTCGAGATACAGTTGACACATAAAATTGTGTAAGTTTAAGTGCACAACACTTTGATATGATACATTTAAAAACTGCAAAATGATTACCAGGATACCGGTACATATAGTGGTATAATACTACACCCCAATAATAGTAGCTAGCACCTCTATCCCATTACATACTTACACTTCCTTTCTGTGGTGAGAACATTTAAAGATCTACTCTTTTAGCAACATTCAAGTATATGACAGTATTATTAGCTTATAATCACCATGTGGTACATTCAATCCCCAAACTTGTTAATCTTATAACTGGGAATTTGTACCCTTTGAGCAATGTCTCCTCATTAACTCCACCCCCTCCCAACACCTGGTAACCAGCATTCTTTTCTGTTTCTCTGAGTTTGTTCTTTTTAGATTCCATATATAAGTGATATCATACAGTATTTCAAACTTCCCTTTAAATGAGTTTAAATATATACTTGGTGACTATCAGGGTGTTTAAAAGTTGTTGCTGCTGTATGGTGTAGTGTACATATGCATATAAAGTCCTATCTATCTCAGAGGTTAGGCTAAGAGATTTGGGGAGTGGGAAGCACACAAGAGGGATAGTGGTGGTAGGAAGCTTTAATTTCCCTAAAATAGAAATGTATTAGGTACAATAATAATAAAAAAAGGTCATTACTAAGAGTTTTTATCATTTATCAGTTCAAGGAAGCCAGAATTTTCTGATCAAATCTTAACCCGAATGCAGTAGATGTCAACCTGGACATCTACACTTAGAGTTTTTTAAAAGCACAAACATCTGATCCCAGCCCAGGAGATTACAATTCAGATCGTCAACAGTATTGTGGCTAGCCATTTCCTGATTTAGCTAATAAGCATGCAGTGTCATAAATGTTTGCCAGCTGTTTGACTATAAATAGTCACTAGTTTTTAGTTCTGTACTATTTTAGATAACTGCGAATTTCCTGTAAAACCAGTACTGAAACTGGAGAACAGAATGTTAAAGCTGAAAATAATATGTAAATGTTTAAAAACAGGAAAACGACTAAGTAAATGAAGGTCCTTAACTCTACAGAACACTCAGAATATTATGCACCGTTGAAGTCATAAATGCAATGCAGTCACATGGGAAAAGTTTAATGCATGGAATAGAGCAAAAAACAAACTTTATCTGTGAGTACTAAATATATTCACGGATAAGGACAAAGACTTGAAGGAAACAAAAAATGATCAATTAGTAAATTAGGGTGCTGGGGCTCATTCTTTCAATTTTCTTAATTATATCATTTTTCCTTCATTATGTCACAAAAGGGAAAAATAATTCGAGACCATTCGGTCCAATGCTCTCACTTTTGTAAATGAGAAAATGAAAGTCAGAGAGTGACTAGCAACCAGTGATTAGCAGCATGCAGACTATTAAGTCTTGAGACTTCCCTGGTTGCGCAGTGGTTAAGAATCCGCCTGCCAATTCAGAGGACACGGGTTCGAGCCCTGGTCTGGGAAGATCCCACATGACGTGAGCAACTAAGCCCGTGCGCCACAACTACTGAAGCCTGCATGTCTAGAGCCCGTGCTCCGCAACAAGAGAAGCCATCACAATGAGAAGCCCGCGCACCGCAACGAACAGTAGCCCCTGCTCTCCACAACTAGAGAAAGCCCGTGTGCGGCCAGCAATGAAGACCCAATGCAGCCAAAAATAAATGAATAAATTAATTAATTTAAAAAAAAAAAGAAAGTCTCAATTTCACTTAGACCTGAACAAACATGTATCATCAGGCTCAGATGTTAAGATGCTTACGGAGGAATATTGTTCAAATCAGGAATGCTGGCATACCCAACTTATGATAGCCAGATATGGGGAAGACAGTGGGATCAAAACAGGGGTAATATAACAGCTCATTCACATATGTGGGACACTCTATCAAGTACTTTTGCATGTATTGTTGATTTGCCCATCACCTCTGTTTTAAAGAGAAAGAAACTGAGAACAGATAGGTTTAGCAACTGGATTTGTTCTATGCATAATTAGTAATCGGCAGAGCCAGTTTTCAAAGCCATATCTCATTCTAGCACCCAGACTTATATTCACCCCCCCCAACAAAATGGGACTGTCTGAGGTCTAATGATCACAGGTATAAAAACCACTAGTCCTGCCAGGAGCAGGAAGCAGGATAGGGAGCTTTCAGAACCATCCTTCTGACTGCAGGGTGGAGCACAGACTGCAGAGGATTCAAGACTCGAGACAAGGAGTCCACAAGGACAAGGACGCTGCTAAGGTAATCCAGGTAAAAAAGGGTAGCAACCTGAACAAAAGCAGTGACTGTGGGTTTGAAAGAAGTAGACAGGCTCAGAACAACTAAGGCTGTGGAACAGACCAGATGGAGGGGTGATGGAAAGGGAGGAATCAAGTTTACCGCTCAGACATTTGCCTTTAGAAGCATTCATTTATCCATTTACATGAGCCAAAGAACAAAAACACTGTCTCTCACTCAAGATGTTTGTTGTCTAGTGAGGAGATGGGGTGTGGTAATGGGTGCTGAGCTCTCTGTGGACCTGTTAATTTTAAGACACTTGGAGAAGACCCAGGCAGAAGTCTAGAGGCCAGCTTGTAAATGAGACCTGGGATGAAGATATAAACTGGAAAACTGGCAAATGATGAGGCCACACAAAGGGAGGATTTAAAATGAGGAGAGGGCTGAGGAGAGAAATCTTAGAGACATTAATCATCAACTAACACTCAGAGGAAGAGTGTGGCTGAGGAAAAGGAGACAGAAGGAAAACCAGGGATGAGCTTCTAAAATGGTCAAATGGGTTTGATTGGAAAACTTAAAGAGGTATTAATAAATAAATAATAAATCAATGCAACTCAATTTAAAAAACTTTACTGGGATAAAATTTGGGGTAAATGTTTCTTAATCATCAGACTTTTGAGAAATAACATCACCTCCATTTAATTTGTGTAAGAGTAAGGGGAGAAGATGCTCAAAGGAAAAAAAAAAGCCTCTTGTGAAAAACTTTTCAGATTAAAACAAATTTTATCCAATATGCATCACAAGCAAAAGCCCTCTATCTGGCCTGAAGTTCTGAGAATTTTAGCACCTGGAGGTCAAAAAGGTAAATTTTCATAAATAAAACGGGATGTTTTCCACATGTAGAGTTTGGGCACAACACACGAACACAAAAATCCCTCCTTTTCTGCAACTTTCATTTCTCAAACTACCTTGATAGCTTTAATTCTTAATGTCTTTCAATATATTCAGCTTTTCACTTCAAGAAACAATAATGAACATTTGGTTTTATCAGTGAATGTCTTTCAACAAGTCAGGCTAAAGAAATCCAATAGAACTACTTTGTACTTTAGTTTTTAATAATGTCTCAAATAATTTATATGTATATAATATTTCAGTGGTTTAAATCTGAAAGGTAAAAGTAAATTGACTAAAGAGAATATTAAGTACTTACTGCAAAAATATTTTGGACTGTTTTCAGTACATTTACTAGCTGTTAAGTATCCATATTGAAAACTAACACTATGTTAAACTACAATCATAACTAAGACTGGTAGATTGTACCCATGTTGACGTCCTAGTGTGACACTACACTGTATGTAGCTTTATAAGACGTTACCAATGAGAAACTGAGTAAAGGGTATGTAGGATCTCTCCATATTATCTCTTACAAATGCATGTGAATCCACAATTATCTTAAAATAAAAAGTTTTGTTAAAAATTGTTTAAAAAAATCAGAATCTATTTTGGTTATTTCAACTACTAATTGCAGGCAAAATTTTTCATTCTTCCTTTCTAGAAATGTTGTATTCTTCTAAAACAGTACTATATAATCAACTTGAATGTAAATTTACATAAACTATCAAGTAAGTTATTATATCAACAAGTTGAAAAATGGGAAAAGTTCACCACCAAATGAACTATAGTTAATCTCATGGGTCCCTCTAAGATACTGATTATAGAAACAATCTTAATGTTGAGTTAAACTTGTTAGATGCTAAACAAATGGCAAACACAACCCTATCTCCATCTTTGCTGAATTATTCTGAAATAAGAATTAAAAATAACCACACAAATTAAATTTTCACCAATTCAATAGATTGGAATCCAATAAGGTTTTGTGGATACAAAACGTAACTTCAGTTGTCCTAACTTCAGTTATGACAACAAAATAAACCATCTGCCCTAAGAATGCCTAAATTAAATAGCTAAAACATACACAATAAAAACTTGCACGTTCGTAACATTAGGAAAAAGCAAAATGAAAATTAAGAAAGACGACTATCCTAGTTAAAGTAGCTCAGTGTTTGTTCATAGCTGACGACCAGTGGCTTGTCAACTAATACAGCTTTAAATGAATCCCACTTTGAAAATACTCCTCCTCCCCATGTAAAAATCCTAATCCTCAATTACCTATATCCATTTTCCATTCAATCAGCATTTATTATGTACAGGACCCAGAGCTAGATGCTGGGTGAGTCACTAAGATATTATTGCTCTCAACATTCATTCTCCAGTAAGGGAGGCCGAATACATGAAAAAGAATAAAAGAAATTCTATAACGTAAGGCAGAATAAAATCAGGCCAAGTTGAGATATAAGTACTATGCATCATAATGGACAGTTCAGAAAAAGGAGAAACATTCTAACAGGGAAAAGAGGGAGACTAAAATACAATTTCTCCCAAGAAGGGGCATTTATGCAGTTTTGAAAAATGAGAAGGATTAACAGATGAAGGGGAGATGAGAAAGATGCGCGGGGTGAGGAAGCATGAACGAAGGCTGAGGTAGGAAAGGACAGGACAGGGTTTGTGTCTGTAGATCACGTGCACGTGGGCACAGCCAGCGGGAGGGAGGGAGGGCAGGAAGGGTGGGGGAGTACAGGTGGGGAAGGCAGAGGCAGGCTGGGGACTGAGTGCCATCCTAGCAGGGAGTTCAGATTTTACTCTCCACTGAAATACTAAAGGTTCAAGAGTTTTAAGAGAATTGCTCTGGCAGTGGTGACATAGGCAGATATCAAAGATAAGAAATAGACCCAAGAACATCCCTGCAATGTCCAAATAAACCATCCAGACTAGAGATGAAGATCCAAACCAGGGAAACACTGTGGCCACACCCAGCCTCTTCTCTCTGAAAACAGTGGGCCTTTTCCCAAAGTAATTTTTCATTTGTACCAATGGTCCCATGGCCCCCTTCTCTCCAGGATCATCCTTTTCTCTCTGTTTAATCTCTTCCCATTGATTTGTAATTCACTGACTCTTTGCCCACGGCCTATAGAGAAGTGAAAACCTCTCTATTACTTCAAAAAAGAAAAAAATGTTCAACTTACTTCTGCCTCAAGCTACCATCCCCACAGTTGTCTCCCTTACCATCAACCTTACTTAGAAGAATTAGCTACAGCACACTGTTTCCACAGCAACACTGAACAAGTCCTCAATGCCTTCCATGTTTTTGTGCCCCATCCTTCAACCGAAACCAGATGCGCTCTCAAAGGACCCCAGGCTGGCCCTTTGCAGTAACGGACGCACATAGCCCAGGAGAAGTCAAGACAATTCTCACTACACTTTGCAACAACTATTCTACGCTCGATCCTGGATACTTCATTTTAAGATGGGTACCAAAAAACTGACAGGAGGAAAATAAACAGTGCATTAAGAAGAATGGTTCAAAGGGAGGATTTTATAACTTGATAAGATGAACACTTATAAAAAGATGGCATGGAGGAGAATAACCACAACTTAACTATGTAACAGATCATTAATGTGGAAGAGAGCTCCAGCAGGTAGAAGCAAGATCAGTGGATTGAAAATACTTGGGAGAATAAAAGGCAGAATTCAGTGCAAAACAAGGAAGTACTTTTAAGTAGTCATTGTAAGAAAAGTCACCTGAAAATGTACAGAAATGAAAATATACAGAAACTTGAGGACTACATGCCAGAACTGTCTAAAGCCTGATACCTAGTATATGGTCCATGGATGGGAAATCAGCATCACCTGGGATCTTGTTAGAAATGCAGACTCTCAGGCCCCATCCCAGACACTGAATCAGAATCTGCATTTATCAAGATTCCCTAGAGATTCCTTTGACATCGAAGTTTGAGAAACACTGGTTTAAGGGAGTCTTGAAACTAGATGTGAGAGGGAATGTATTCGGTCTTACATTAATTTACGGAAAGCAAAACTCACCAACTATTCCAGAGATCTCAAGGTTGTTTCATTCGACTTCTGCCTACTAGGTCAAAATACTGTTTCTAGGTTTCAGAGTCTGAGCTTTCATGAGTTATTTTTTAATACTTTAAACAGTGCTCAGCCAAAGCTTATTCAAACACTTCAAATGTTAACTTATTTTATCAACTTAAAGATTTTGTTTAAAACTGAATTAAGGCAGCTCGTAGTGGTACATTTACAACACAGCATCAAATAAATTGCTAAAAGGAAAAATGGTGCAGAAGGAAAATAAGGGTAGGAAAGCAAGATGGATTTCTATGGCTGGTATTTAAAATGCATTATCATGACTCCTAATCACTTGCTAACTGAGGGTTAGATTTGGTTCCAAGTTTTTAAGCAGCCAACTCAAATAGGGTGTGATATCTTCTAGCATGTGCATTTAGAATGCTATGAATAATGTCCGTAGGCATACATAAAACAGGCCCCATTAAATATATTCAAAATGTTGAATAGAAGATTCGTGCTTTATATTGAATTAATTGTAAGATTTTCTATTGTACATTTTAGAATATTCCAATGAATCACACTTACCAATATAATTTCATTTTCTTTTCTAGACAGCCTAAACAGCAGAGTAGCTCAATGTTGATAACTGGTAAAAATTTAAAGACAATCTCATCACAAATAAAATTTAAGAAAGGGAAAAAGAAATAAAACTTACCAAACAGATTTCCTAAACTTGCATCCATTTTTATTTCAAATACTTGAGAAATAACATAGAATGTCAGTAAAAATACTGCCACAGCTACCACCAACTTTGCAGCACCTAGATAAAGGGCAGAAATAATTCAACATGAGCTTATGAGCCCACCGAATTTTTAGTTATGCATTTCCATGAAAAACGTAAGTGTATTTAAAAAACTCTTAAGACTAACAAATATCTACTTCTTATCTACTGGATCTTAATTTTACTTGAGTTACAACAAAAACTGTACCAACAATCCATTTTGATTGATTTTTCTGATCAAACAATTATGAGATTGTCTAGCAACCTAGACACAGGACTGCCTGAGTCATCTGCTTAGTTTTCTCATGGAAAAAAAATGACCTGCTATCAACTTCTGGCTGACTACACAAAAGTATCAAGGCCAATGGAACACCGCCACCAAGTATGTGGGAGGACACATTCTCAATCCTTTTCAATGATAAAGGGCAATACAAGACAGAGAGGATACAAAAACGCTGAACTTTCCAGAGATACTAAGGCAACAGACCAGGATGTCCACTTGGCAATGAGTTCTCAAGTGAAATGTAACAGGCTTACTGTCCTCACCAACCCACACATCTCTTGAAGCACACAAGTGCTCCTGGTATGGTGAACAACGAAATATCTCCCCTCATACTTAACACCAAAGTTTAAGCCACGCCTTCCCCACTCCTGGAGGACTGAATTTGGCACCTGTCACATTTAACACGGTTACATGGTAAGCTCTGTGAACAGACTCTTAGTCTTCCGTACCTTTATATGTTTAATTATTTCTGAGTGCCTTACAAATAATTAGCACTGCTACTAATTAATTAACTGCTTAATGTGAATCATCACTTGTCTTTCTTCTCCACAGCTAAGCAAATCTAGGAAAGAAAAAGTACAAGATACGAAAGGACATGAAAAATGACAGGAAGAAACATCATCTTCTTACTCTTAGAATTTCAGAGCCATCTCATTAGGCTATTCAGAAACAATATTAATATTTGCCTATATAATCTCCATTCCCCTCTCTTACCAAAAGTTTAATTTAAATTGATCTAAAAGATCAGCAGTCATTTCACTGTCCTTACTTAAGGAAACAAAAGCCCACAAGTGAGGCAACTGCCCAAGATTACAGATATCTTAGCGGCAGCACAAGGACAGGAATCCAGGGATCCTGACAGAGCCCAGTGCTTTGTAAGGTTCTCCACTACCATCAAATGACCACATTCTTCAGGGAAACTACCAAAACTCAACTTACCAGATAAGGAAGAGTAAAAAAGAACTGTGTTCATCCTAACTTCATAAACGTAGAGACTGGGACTGTATCCTTACGGGGATGGGAAATGAACGAACTGATGATGCTCAGAAGGGCTGACGATGCTGAGAAGCAGGAGATTCTCAGAGCTACTCACTTTTATTTAGAAACGCTCTATAAATATAGAAATGAGATGGCAAGGAGGAAGCCTAACTACTAAACCAATCAATTCCCACCCCGCCTCCTGTTTTGTTCCTTCTCCCCCTTCCAAAACTGCTTCCTGTTTTCATGAAAAAGACTCTGACAAGTACGGGTTTCTGGTAACTGACTATACTGCTGAACTGAATGAATAAGCATTTTCAGAACTCTAATGGAAAACTGATGAATTCATAAAAGTGCTAACAAAAGATCAAGATAAAAAAATATTAATTACATGGGACTGAGTGAACTGATGAGGATGATTATAATTTTTGTGACTTTCTGTTTGAATAAAAAGAAAAAAAAAGAGTGACTACAAGTCATCTACATTTTCAGCACAGAAGCGAGTAAAATTCCATTAGGCTTTGAACTCTTCCCCCACAGGATCTAGTAGAGTGCCTTGTATTGATACACAGTAACACTCTAAACAAGTGTTTGCCAAAGGTTAACAGGTGGCATATTCCTCCTGGATCATTTAAGACCAAGGGCTGGAAGATTATACGTCACATGACAGTCTTAACATCTCATTTTCTAGTAATCATGGGCGTGTGCAAATAATCTTTCCCTGTCCCTTAAAGCAGATGTACCAAACCTTCGTTGTTCAAGACTGAAATATTACAGTGATTAAGATACCAAGTTTATAATACACAAAAGTTCTGGACTAAATTCAATACCAAGCTAAACCTAAGCCTACACTAAACAATATACATCATATTTACATATACATACATGTATATAAAATATACACACACCATTTAGTGAGTGCCTACTACAGATCTAAGTGCCTTATTAGCACAACTTCATTTGCACAGCCTTTCAAGACACTCTTTTCATTTTACAAATAAGGAAAACAAGGTCAAAAATTTAGATCACTTGCCTAAGGTCACATAACTAGTCAGCGGCAGAATTTAGTTTTAAACCAAGACCTACTGAAGTATAAGAAACCATCAAAGGAAGTAGGAGGAAACAAAAGCTCTAAGAGACAAAGAATTTAGAGGCGGAGAAACTAACTGGTGATAGAACAAGCAGAAGGTCCGTGAGAGGGGCAGGTGGGTGAAGACCAGCAGAGCCTCCATAACGGTAGGGTTCTGGACCTCCTGTTGCAGAGGGGCTCCCCCAGAGCTGTCACCATCCACTTCTGGACTGGGAGGGGCTTACCCACAGCACACCACAGTTCCCATTCCACCCATGAGATTCCCCCCTACTTCCAGCCATGGACTGTACTAATCTGAGTGTGTCCCTATTTTTCACAAACCAAAAAGCATAAACTTGAGATATTAATGCCTCACCGTAAGAATAATGGCTATAAGGATATTTCAAAGCAACCAGGATTTTTTTTTTAATTAGGAGAGATTAATTAGTCTACAATCAATAAACTAATAGCTAATCTTCCTTATTCCTTCATTAAAGGCAGTTCCCTTGAGACCTATACTAAGAACAGTGTCAAATATAACATCAGCACTCAGTGAATAATTACTCATCAATTAATCTTGGTATTAATTAATCAGAGAAATGGATTAGATGACAAAGTTAACTTCAACTAGAATGAATGTAGAATTACATGAGAAAGAGAAACTTGCTTTATTTCAAATCACCATGCTTAAATAAGTAACGTACTTTTAGAACCATACCTTTAGAGACGCCCCCATAAGAATATTTTTTTTACTGGTGAGATGATAATTAAAAGAATGACTATCTTGATTTTGAGAAATGACAAGCTGTCTCCTATGATGGACACACACTACTTAGTAGAAATTTCTATGTAAAGTGTGCATCTTCTACACAGTGGCTGTGCTAGAGGGGCAGGGTGGAGGGATCACACTTGTTTTCACTATAGTTAGGAAGAGGTCTCAGCCTCTCCTGTTATTTATGGATCTGTCTTTTGATAAAGGTAACTACCTTAATACTATGAACACCAAATGGTATTTTTAAATTTCCTCAGTATGCTGCCTAAGGAACAGATGTCCTTACACATAACCTCACTTATGCAGGCTAAACCTGACCTAGCAAATACAACAGTCATTTACGCAAAACACATTTTACTGAATTCTTCACGTACACTAGTTTCAATTTATGTACACACATAGGAAAGACTTAAGCTTTTAAAGTTCACAATTCATTTTTCTCAACAAGCTACAACTTAGCAAAAATAAAAATCAGCCTCCCTAAGTTGTCAAAATCGTTCTTTATATGAACATTATACATATATATATTTATATTTTTATATTATTAGGCAAACAAGCTTAATGTATAAGGACGTAAACATTAAAAACCATAACTTAAAATATTTAGCATAAATAATTTCAACAGAAGTGTCCCCAAAAAACTTATGTAGAACCCACTAAACATCCAATTTATGATTTGCCAACTACCTAAAAAAGTAAAAAGGCTAAATAATGATTTAGTTTGTTATATTCAGTCACACTCAACATAGAAAATGATTATTTACCCTCTCATTCAGTCATTACTAAACAAACAGGTTATACAAGAAGCAAAATTATTTCTACTGAAGTAAGTATCTTACCTGCTACCCTCATGTTTGGTTTTTCAGTCTATGGCACTTTTCATTAAATAAGCTCCTAGAATCAAAAGAAAAGGCAAACAGCATTAGGTCTAGAATGAGCATTTCTCCCTAGATTGAGTTTGATTTGGAGTGTATATATTAAACTAATTAAGTAAATGTCATGACATTTCTAAGTATTCTACCAATATTAACATTTAATGAAAAAGCTCTTAGCACTGGGCCTGTCTCCTTCCACTGGGCCATAAAAGCTCCGGAGAGGAGGGTGTGTCTAAAACTGCTCTATCTCCCGCTCCCTAACTGAAGGACGGAGGGAAAACTTGTCATCAAGCATGGACAGAATGATGCCTTACTGTTCTCAGTGATTATGCATCTGTAACAAACTTTTGATATTTAGTTCCAAACCACCAGTTTTCAGCTGAGGTCCAAAGAGGTTAAGCTGCTTATCTAGTGAGGGAACAAATTACCTGCAGCAATGGGGTGAGGATTTAGGTCTGCTGGCTCCTGCTCTAGGGCTCACTCCTATGACACAATTCAGGTGTCACTATGATAAGCACTTATAGGAAAGGCACCTTATCTTAATACCAGGGGTCCTCTTCCTCTTCATGTTTTCAGTTTAAGTTTGTGAAAGAACATATTCAGACCTATAGAACTGCAATTTTAAATATTCCAGCAATCATCATTATTGACAGTGTATGTTATACATCAAATGAAGAAACTGTAATCTGATATTATTCTAATAATAACAAGAAATAGATACTGGAAAAAAAAAATCTGCGTATATGTTTGTGTGCTCCCCCCTAAGAAATAACTCAAGATAGGTGAAATTTTAAAAAGAAAATGGGAAAGCAAGTATACGAGTTTGATAGGAAATTCATGCTCGAGTTCAGCTAGACAGCTTCCACAGTCTACTCAATCTATTGTACAGGAAAGGTAGTCAAAAGAAAATTTCGATTAATGAATTGCATCAATCAAGAACATATATTTCTTTATTTTAGACTGTATTTTAGTACTGGTGTTTCAATGTTGATGTCTGATCTAGTAATGCACAGAATGATTGAAATAAAAACAATGGCAGACTCCTGAAGGACACTGAAAGGGAGTGAGACATCCAGTTTTCTTATTCACCAGTAAGGATTTATCGGGGGTGGAGGTGGTGAGCATCTAAAAGGACCAATGTTCTTACGGGAACTCCCTTTCCTTCTGCTCAATCTACCCTGAAGAAAATATCAACATTTATATTTATACCAGTACTGAACTGAGCATTATTGATTTCCTTTGTTAGTTATCTGAACACCTTCCACATAATAGGAAAAGACACTGTTACTTAGCCACAGGCCAGGAAAACGCTACAAGGAAACAAGAGATACTGAAGTATCCAGGAAACAAGAGACACTGAAGTATCCACAAGTTACCACATAAAAGCAGAAAAAAAAAAAATCTTGGCTTCTCAAATGAAAACCCTAACGAGCTAGAAATCCTCTTTTGACTTCCAGCAAGATTGAATATAATGTTCAAAACACACATATATGCCTTTCCTCCCAGCTAACGCTCCAAAATAACATCACTCTTATGTGAACATGGCCTGTGATAATTTTTCGGGGGAGAGTGATAAGCAGTTGAGCAGACACCTGATGTTCTATTTCACTGTTTCCATTACCTGCCGAGGAGGTCACACCTGTACAATTACAATCACTGCCTCGTGTACCTACCCCTTGTTTGGACTGCCTAACCAGCCTGCTTCTAAACTTAACACTAGTAAGACCACAATATAAGCAACTACAATGGTCTAGCCAAATTCATGTTTTCCATTAAATTTCTCAGAGAATAACATTTAATAAAATCTCTAAATTAAAATCTCATCAAATCTCAGCCACGACACGTTTTTAATTAGTTTGCTTAAGAAGCAAATTAATGATTCAAGAGTGTAAATCGGCATAAGGAAAGAGTATTGAATATATTTGAGAGCAAACCAAGGAGTATCTGTTTACAATATGCTAATTCCAAATCACTCCTAACTTGTCTTCTTAGGAGGACATTAAAAACAAAGAAAATCTTTACATAGAATCATCTTGGGGGGGGGGGGGGGGGGGGAAGTAAACCACCTTAATGGAGTCTGGTATATACCTCAAACTGAACCTCCAACAACCAAGGGGAGGTAGAAAAGGTCCAGAGAAAATGAACACAGCAATAAAAGGAGGAAAAAGGTCTCTGCTAAAAATTCAGAGCCCTTTAATTCAGAGGCAACAGGTGAAAATTTTATAACTGTTCTTATATATTAATTAAAAAGCAGAGATATAGAAATTAGAGCCATTTCCAAAATAAGAATATGGGTGGTAGGAGGAGAGTGTTTTTAAGACAGATTAAAAACAAACAAACAAAAACCCTAATAGCACAGTTGTGAAATACATTTGTAAAATACATTTTGCCCCCCAAAAGTGTAGTCTAGGTCAAGACAATAAGTTTCAGTGTTTTATAGATCAATGACTGAGCCAGATCAGGTTGTAACATGTAAAGTGCACAATCATCAGAGCCCACTGCGAGCAGGGCCATCATGCTGTCCGGAGCAAGGAAGCACCGTTCTGGGTAAACGCTAATTTAGTAAGTAACCTGGATTGAAAGAGAGAACCTGAATTAGGGTCTCGGATCAACATACCAGATTTCTTCGAATTTCTTATAATTTAAACATTTCCTTTAGCCCAGCTGTCTACGTTGGTCTGATTCATGAAGTTTTGTTAAATTCAGGCCTGAATAAACAGGCATTGTCCTAGAATCAATCAACTTCAGGACAATAGATAAAAACACAGGTCAAGTGACACTTTCATTCCTTCCTTGAGAAGTGGACTCGAGCTACATCAGGTAAATTTGAAGGGCCCATTCTCTATCAACAAAATAAGCCATAAAAACAATTATTCACCAGGACGGGAAAGTCTTGCCATTTAACAAAAACTAGGAAATAATGCAAACAGCAGAGTAAGTCACACACATTCTTATTTTATGTAATCTTCCCATCAGCCCTATGGCATTATAGATGAGGTCACGGGATTTGTCCAAGGTCACGTGAAGGGAAAGTAAGAAGCTGATACTATAAACAATTCCACTTCCCTTCCACTTCCTAGCAGCTCCCTGCCATGCTCTGAGAAGCTTCCTGACAAAATTCCATGTCAATCAATTTGGCTTTTGCAAATTGCTCTGGGAATTGCTAATCCCTGCTGCCAACTAGCCACTCTAGGGCTCTGATGGGTTGTCAAAATGACTAAGCATGTGTGTTAGAACACTCGTCAGTCCCCACTGTGGGTAGGGGGCGTGGAGCCCAAAGCCTGTGTCCTGCTCTCATCCCGCTGAGCCGGGAAGGGAGCAGAGATGCCTGCCCGGGCACCCCCACCTCCCCTGGGGCCCTGGCTGAGGCCCCATCCTGTCCGCAGAGCCCCAGAGGAGGCCCACCCCGTGGACGCGGCCTGAGGGGAACTGGGCGAGGCCTGTGCAGCCGGGCTCCCTCCCGCCTGTGTGTCGGTACTCCGCCTTTTTCCTCATCCCACCTCCTCAGACACCTGGCTTAAGGGCCCTGACTCTTTCCTGCAAATAATGAGGAAACATGGTGTCCCAGGCAAAGGGTTCCCCCTCCCACCTCCTCGGGGTAGGAGGTTAAAGAGGGTTCAATACCAAACGCCCTGCCCCAGGAGAAAAATAGTCCTGTTGAGTTTGGGGTCAGAAGCAAGGGCGGGAGAGGCAGCCCCACAGGGTCGGTGTGCCACGATCAGGTCGGTTCGGTTTGTCTTTGTGTCTTTTTGCTTTGTTTTGTTTTGTTTTAAACCATCATCAGCGAGATTTTTCTTCAGCCACCAGTGTTGGCCTGGAAGCAGAGGGCTGCAGCCCTTAGTGTTTGTAAAATAAGAAAGAATACACAGCGTGGCCGTGGTTGGGTTTTTTTTTTCCCCTCCTTTGAGAATTTTCTTTTGTAAAACCAAATTTAAATACTTTTTTAATACTGAAATTAAAATGAAATTAAAATGGATGAAATAGAAGCTGGAACCCTCCTCTTGGACTATGCAGCCTAAGAACCTCATGGGACTATGAATTCACCCAAAATTTTCATTTGCCATCAGGCCGAGCTTTGAAAGAAAAACTGTTCTCTAACCAGGATTGTAACAATAGTGTAAATACTATTTCAGAGTTGAAAGCTGATGGTGCAAATATGTATATAATGTACTGTATTTTTACAATGATCGTCGCATGACTCTACTCCGCCCCCCTTTTGTACTCCATATCTGTCTTCCAGAAACGTCACCTGCCTTGCCTCCTGTGGTCTCTTAATCCAATAACTGTATTACTGCCTTTAAAGGATGCAGTTATTTAAAAAGAAAAAAAAGAACACTCGTCCAAGACAGAAAGGACAAAGGAAAATGAAGTATACAGACACACTCACTGATACATTTAATATTAACAAACGACTACTTAATTAAGCCAGAAGAAAATACTACCAATTATACTCCAAAAATACACTCCATTCAATCCACTTTTAACTCAGTGCTGGCCGAACAGCAATGTAAGGAAACAAAATTTGCAACCCCAAATGTCTCTTTTGTGTGTTAATTATTTTGAGCTGGAAACAGTCAAGGCCCAAAAGACTCTTTGACCTTCCCCCTTAGCTGCCTAAAGAATTTATAGAGGGTCTGTAACAGGAAGGGAACTATCACCACAGATAACTGTAGTATGAACTACATGTGTAGATAGGGAGGAACCTAGCAAAATCTGTTTGTTAGAATTCCTCTAGGTGTCCCATTGCCACTGCAAGACCCAGCAAACATTTACCAAACATCTGCTTTTCCATCTCCACGTGAATTGCCTTCCTCCCCTTTGAAGTCCCAAACCACTACCCCCTACATCCCTCCTCTTTAGTCTTTAGCGGAAGATAGTATTTAAGGACTCAGTTTTCCTGGGTCTCCCCCATGTATACATGTTATTGAACTATTGATTTTCTGCTAATCCGTTTCATGTTAATTTAATTTTTAGACCAGGCAGAGGAACCTAGAAGGGTAGAAGAAAATTTTTCCTCCT